GCCACTGGTGAAGACCAACTTCATCCTATAGATAAAATATAGCCCAAGGTGGTTAAAAGCAAACCGCCTGCTCCTCTTTCCAAGGACCCTGAGTTTGGTTCCCAGAACCCACAGCAGGCAGCTCACATGTAACTCCAACTCCAGGGGGTCCAACGCCCTCTTTAGGACTCGGAAGGCATTGCAAATACATGCACCTCATCCCACATACACACAATCAAGACTGGAAACTGTCACCTGAGAAAACTGTCAGGGGAACAAGGAGACTGGAGGAGACTTTCTTACAATAATTCATAAACATAATATGATTTAAATGCACAGAGTTAGAGCATAAAGGGCTCTGGGAAGTCAAGCCTCACCTCAAACCAGTCAGAAAGTCTAGGAGGGCAATCTGCGTACTACTACTTACTAAGTTCCCAGGGTACTGCATATCCCAGCCTGGTAATAAGTGTGACATTTCTTGACCTCTGAGCCTAACTCACATTGGATACTGTGAAATTAAATAGGTTAATGGACATCATCTATCTCACGGATACAAACATTAGTTGTATAGCTTCCTTTTATTAAGAGATAACATTCACATGGTAACATTCACATATCAAAGCCACCCTCTTTACAGTATCGAATTTAGTGCTTTTAGTATAATTACAAAACTGTGCAATCATCTTCACCAAATTCAAAACTTTTTTTTCATGTTCTGATAAGGAAATTCCATCTCCTTAGCAAACCTCCTTCAGTCCCTGGGAACCGCTAACCTATAGTCTGCCTCTATGGATTGAATTGTTCTGGACATCTCAGCACAGTAACACAGAAGCTCTGTGCACAGCAGTTGTGGGGGCTTACCCTGGTGCAGCTTGCACCGATCTTTTTAGAGCTGAGTAACAGTCCACTGTATGGACTTACCACTGTTTTCTGGGGTTGTTTCCACCTGTGAGCTATTACGAATAACACTGATATGAGCATTTATAATGGTGTTATACACGGACGTATTTTCAGCTCTATTGAACACACCTAAGAGTACAATAACTTGGTCATATGGTAACTTTAAGCACAACTTTTTCATTATTGTTATTTTTTGGTATTTCATTGTGTGCATATAATGTTTTTTGGTCCCCTTCATTCCTCTCCATTACCCTTCCTCAGCTGCTCGCACGCTCACTGAGCCAATCTTCTTCCCGACAGGTCTCTCTCCTATTTTCATGGTTGAGTTCGGGTTTTTTGTTGATGTTTTGTGGCTTCTTTTGTGACTCACAGGGTTTAATTAGGGCTGCATGCATGAGAGGTTATTTACTGGGCAACTTTAACAGCAGTCACATCACAGAAGACAATGACTCTCCCTTCCCAGCAACCATTAACTGCCAATAGCTCCTAAGGTAGGTGGGGCTTCATGAACCCCTCTCCCCCCCGTGATGGACCACGGATGGGCCCTTCCCCTATGCCTAACTTTGGATTTTCGGAAAGCCTACTGTGTGAGTGGGTAGACAGCTTAGCCACTGCAGTGCCCGCAGTGCGAACAGAAGGCCCTGAGTGTGTCCCTCCACCCTAGGTGGAGGCATGTGCTCGCAATCCCAGCACTGAGGAGGGAGAGACGGGTGGGTCTCAGGCTCACAGGCTAAGCCAGGACAGCCTAGCCAGCAAGCCCCCAGTCCCAGTGAGAGACTGTCTCAAAATACAATGTGGGTGGCTCCCAAGGAACAGCATCCAAGGTCGAGCCCCGGTCTCCTCTACTTGCGGACCCTATCCCACACACGTACACAACGTAGAGGAGAGGAAGGCCTGGAGGCAGCAGCTGCTGTGGAAGATGGAACTTGCTGGCATTCCCATCAGAAAGGCTCAAGGTTCTCGGGGGCGGAGGCGGCAGGGTGCCCTGGGAGGATACTGTGGCCCACCACACAGTTTCACAGAGCTCTGAGGCTCTGCAGGAATGTGTCTACTTCCAAAGACCAGCACCTCCACTTCCACATTGCATGCTTCTCCTAGGAGGAGACAGGCCATTTCCTTGATAATATAGACCGTGGTCCTCTTAATTTGGGGTTTTAGCTAAAAGCACATCAGTGTCCCAGGACTGTCAAGAAAACAAAAAACAAAAAACAAAACAAAACAAAAACAAAAAAATGATACTTCAGGGCAAAGAGCCATGCAAACCCACACTCTGCCACCCCCTCGATTCACACTTAGGAATATTGTTCCAGGGTGCACATAGAATGGCACTGGGAATATTTTTGCTCAAAGAAACTGTCCTAGCTTGCTCTCCATTGCTGTGATAAATGCCCGCACCAAATCAACTCCGGAGAGGAAAGGGTTTATTTCAGCTTACAGTTGTAGCTGAGGGAAGTCAGGGCAGGAACTCAAGGCAAAAAAGGATGCAGAGACCATGGAGGAACACTGTTGACTGGTTTGTTCTCCATGGCTTGCTCAGCCTACTTTCTTATAGAACCTGGGACCACCTGCCCAGGGGTGGTCCCATCCACAGTTAGCTGGGCCCTCCCACATCAACCATCAATCAAGAAAATGCCCCACATGCTTGCCCATGGGCCAAATGGAGGCACATTCTCAACTGAGGACATGGGAATACCCTCTTTCCACATGACCCTAACTTGTGTCAAGCTGACAAAAACCAACCAGGACAGAAGCAAAATATGTTCAGCGCAGCTTGTGGATGTACATGTTCAGACCTCCCAAATACCTGAACCAGTCCCTGCTACAGAATGTGACAGAATTGGCATACACTATGCATCCTTCCTGTGGACCTTACCCTCTCTGTATTACCTGTGACAGCTAATGCAGTGTAACTACTAAGGGGGTCCCTCTCATACTGTTGTTTAGGGAACAGTGACAAGAATATGCACGCACACACACACACACACACACACACACACACACACACACACACACAGAGATAGATGCGTCCCTTCCAACCACCTCCAATCTGTGGTTTGTTAACTCCAAGGACATGGAGGCCGTAACTATAGTGGGAGGCTACAAAGCTATAAATGTGAATTATAAGCCATCATTTCTTTAATGTATGAAATGGGGGTCAGAGTTTTCAAAAGATTAAAGCCAAAAAAGCTTCATTGAATTTCTAGCTATTTCAAGAAATTGATAACAGGCAGTACTGAACAGAACTTTATTCTAAATTGATCTAGTTTATGGACCATATCTTAAACGTGGTTTATACTGTACACAGTCTAAAGCAGTAGCTTGCTATGACCAACGCTCAACAGAGATGAAGGAAGGAAGGAAGGAATGTGTGAATGGACGGAAAGGACCCATCAGACATATCAGTCTCCCTAAAAGTAAAGTAGGAAGGATGAAGGAGACAGGGAAAGAAAGGAGAGAGAAAATTACCTAATTGTCAAGAAGAGGCTTTGCCAAGCACATGGTAGATGAGAGGACAGGGTGCCAATCATACTTAACACTCAGTGTCTACCAGGAGCTGGGATGAAGCACCCTGCACCCCCCAGCTGGCCATCCACTTGCCCTTTATCTCAGGGAAGACAGGCTAGACCTACTGTCAATATGGCTTTTCTCATTCTCCTCTGTAGTCTCACCTAACACTGCACACTTGAACTGCAGTCCCCAAACCTCAAAGCTAATCCGAACCTCTAATGCAGCAAAATGGACACCTCTATTTGGAAACAGGGAAAATTAAAATGGGTCACGTGACCATAGGGTGGGCCCTAATTCAGTATTGCTGCTGGCCTTCTAAGGGGAGATATGAACAAAGTCGTGGACAGAGGGAGAAACCATGGGAAGATTAGAAGTAACAGTGTCACACCAAGAAGTGACGGAAACCAGGACCAAGGTCTGGGCAATCCTTCTCCAGCACCTTGGAGGGAGGTAGCCCTGACACCTCACGGTAGGACTTCTGACCTTTTTCTAAAACTGTGAGGCATTAAATTCCCTCTCTTCTTTTTTTTTTTTTTTTTTTTTTTTTTTGGTTTTTCGAGACAGGGTTTCTCTGTGTAGCTTTGCGCCTTTCCTGGAACTCACTTGGTAGTCCAGGCTGGCCTCGAACTCACAGAGATCCGCCTGGCTCTGCCTCCCGAGTGCTGGGATTAAAGGCGTGCGCCACCACCGCCCGGCTAATTCCCTCTCTTCTAAGCCATCTAGTCTGTGAGCTGGTTCCTAAAGGCCGAGCGAGCTAATGCAGGATCCAAGAGCTGGTGCCGGTCAACTACAGACTACATGTCAGACCCAGCCTCCCAGCCCCCAACAGCCACCACCATCACATCACTCAGGGCCCAAAGCTCACCCTCAGGATGCCGCAACAGCTCACGTTTCCCTGACCTCGGAGTCTACTTCTACCTCCAACACACCACCCTAATGTCACCCCCCAGAGATGCCACCTCCGGGTCTCACCACTTGCTACAGAAGAAAGCCCACTTCTCCCTGCCTAGTGTTCTAACATCTACAGGAGCTCACACTGCTAGGTGAGGCTCTCCCAGGGTCTTTATGACACAAAACCCTTGTTCTAGGAGCCATGCCTCCTCCAGCTGAGCATTCTCCCCTTCCAATCTTGACCATCCCATGAAGAATGATACGGGAACCCATGCTCTCCTGGAAGCTCTCTCTACATCAAGACTAATGCAGCAGTCATGTCTCTGATTCTGTGGTCATCACACCACCTTGCCTGTATACCTAGCATCTGAAAAGTACACACAAACTCCATTAACACAAAATGTCCAAAAAGAGCAAAGACAGAGAGTACTATAAAGAATCCCACAGTAGACTAGGAAGATCCTTAATGATAAAGATCTTATTTTAAAATTTTAGGTTGTTCTTAAAGTCAAAGACAATGTGAGGCATACTGTAACGTTCACACGCTTGCTGAATTACCTATTCAACACACATTAAACATTCCCAGCTTGTTACTTCTGGCTCTTCCTTTAACTGAAAACTTGAGAATGGGAACAAAAATTTCATAGAATCCTAAGTTCCACATAGATCTACGTAATTTAAAATATGTCACAAGGTAAAAACGACAACATCCAGTTACTCACCATTCTTCATCACGACATTGGACCAGACATTGGCATTCAATGCTTGTACAATCCGCTTTACGCCTGTAGATTCAGGGAAGTCATCTATCAGGGAGAGAAACACACAGATCCATACACATATCTAGATAAACCCACACATTCACATATGTGCCTAGATGTCCCCAAAGCCACACTTTCAAATAACTGGGTTTAGTCATCTTGTTTATTTGCTGTTGCTTCATAATGTACTGTGTACCACTCACAGTAAAAGAATAAAGCAACACAGAGCTCAGAGCTCCTGACACAAAGTCACCATAGAAGAGAGCTGTGTGATCAAGCGTTCTCTATCTCCTCCCCCATGGCATCCACTCACAATTTCCAGAAAACACAAGCTCTCGTGAAACAACCACAGTGTAGCATTAAAGACACTAATCTCTGGGCTGGAGAGACGGCTCAAAGGCTAAGAGTGCTTGCTGCTCTTGCAGAGTTTAATTCCCAGAACCCATGTCAGGTGGTTCAACTGCCTGGAACTTCAGCCCCAGGGCAGTGACAATGCCTCCACGTACACCTGCATGCACACTTTAACATAATAAATCCTTACAAAATAAACTAATAAACACCTCGTCTTGGCTATCTATACAGGATGAACTTCCAGGGGCTGGCTAGATGGCTTAGTGGGTAAAAGCACGTGTGGCACAAGCCTGGTGACCTGAATTTGATCTGTGGGAGAAGGCCCTCTCTGTGGGCTATAAGCTAACTCTCTGTGATGCTGTCTTCCACTGCAGACTATTACCACCTGTTACCCATTAACTCTTTTTAAATTTAATTAAAAAAAATTTTTTTTTTTCATTTTACACACCAGCCACAGATAATCATAGAAAGCGGTTTGGAGTCAAAGCTGAGCTGGGACTGGCAGCAGCGCAGGGAGCCTGGAATCCCAGCTACTAGAAGGCTGAGGCAGGAAGTGCTCATGCTGGAGGCCAGCCTGAGCAACAGAAGCTGAAGTCCAGCTTGGCAACTCAGTGAAACTTTGTATCAAAAGAGTAAGTAGGAAGAAGGCTGGGAGATGTACTCAAACTCAGAATGTTTGCCTTCGGTTCGAAGCCAGACCCAGGCTCCTGCTCCCGTACATGACCAAAAAGGGCACGCAGCAACTGCTTTAGAGTTCGTGCCACCCTGTCTCTAGAATTTGGTGGCTCTACTTAAAACAGTGTGGCCTTACTCTCCGCCAGCAACCAGTACCCAGGCATCACTGTGTCCAGGAAGCACAGGTCCTTCAGACATGAGGAATATAAGACTTCAGGTGGAAAGGAATGGAAGAAATAATTCACACGTGGTGGGTCAGAGAGAGAAGAGTTTGCAGAACTCATGTCTAGTGGTCTAGCCTGCTCTGGGTTAAATAGGATGAAGAGAGACTCAGGCATCAGAAGTTCTGAACTTGAACCTGGGCTCTGTCAGTTACCAACCATTTACTGTATGATCAAGGGAGTGGCAGGGACAGCAGCACTCTGAGGACCTCTCCTGGAAGAACGATGGTGGAGACTGGGGACTCACTGGTGTACTCTTCCTCTCTACTGGAAGCTCCTGCAGGCAGGAGCCACGCCTAACTGAGTTCATCACGCCCGCTGCCTAAGAGTGCCTGAGTGACAGCCTACAGCAAATCTAAAGGATTGCATCTACCAACCCAGCAGCACTACATGAGGATGAAACTGGAAATACCCAACAAAGATACGTTTATCCTGCTGCTGTCTGGATGAAGAGAAAAAGCCATGTTCATCTTAACTAGAGATGATGCAGTTCTTGAAAGAAGTACTCAAATTTAAGACACTAAACCCAGGAACCAAAAATACAATCTAATATGAAGAGCTAGCAGCAGTAACATGAAACTTGATAAAATAATGAATGTGTGAAAAGTACCCACAAATGAAGGATGAAGAAATCTGGCTTTGGAGTAGTTTGCATTTAAAAATTCTAGAAAGGTTTTATTACCTTGTGAGGGAGACCAGCTCCCTCTTTTATTTATGCCAGGGATTCTTGAGCAGGGAGAAATGAGGAATATCTAGATAGAAATATAGAGACAGAAAGAAACACAGGATAGCCTCGGGAGGGCCTGGGTCAAAACCCACCAGCCCCTTCTGTCTCTGCTAAAGGGCTGTTAAAGGAATGTCAAGGGGTGGAGCAAAGAGCTCCCCTAGCACAGCCAAGTGCAGACCATCCCAGACACCTGGTGACCATGCATGTGGTCCAGCCATCCCCTAATGCAGCCCTGCTCAGACCTCACTAGGAAACCTTTGTGGGCTCTTACAACCTTGCTCTAAGAGACATGTCTCAGAAAAATTTGTTTTAAGATTTGCTGAATTAGGGCTGCCAAGATGGCGCCGCAGGCATTAGAGCTTGCTGTGAGCCCGATGACCTCAATTCCCACCCTTGGTCCACTGTGGAAAGAAAATCGACTCCCAAAAAGTTAACCTCCAACCTCCATCGTGTGTGCCATGGGACATATGAGCACCTGCACGCGCGTGCGCGCGCGCGCACACACACACACACACACACACACACACACACACACACACACACACACAAATAATAATAAATACAAAGACAGGTACTGTTTGCAGAGCAACTCCCTGGTAGAAAGGAACAAATTTCACGACTATAACAGTCAAAGTTAACTCCAAGGACATTATGAAGAAAAGAAGGTCAGAAGTAAGAAATTACACATGTTCACATACACCAAGCTGGGCACAAGTTTTAGGGAACTTAAAAAAAAAAGGAAAGGAATATTTCATTTGCCAACTTTCAGTATTCTTTATGATGTTAAGAGTGAAAACTAGCTGGGTGGCAGTGGCACACGCCTTTAATCCCAGCACTCAGGAGGCAGAGGCAGGCGGATCTCTGTGAGTTCGAGGCCAGCCTGGTCTACAGAGAGAGATCCAGGGCAGGCACCAAAACTACATGGAGAAACCCTGTCTCAGAAAACAACAACAACAAAAACGAATGAAAAGCTGCTTCCCTATTTCGTCTCATCCTGACCTACCTAGCACTTTCATCCACACTGGCTTCCAGCCTGGAAGGTCTCCTGGGACAGCCTGCATCTTCTAAGGCCCCGCCCACCAGGTCGCTTCAAGTCCAGCTCCTTCTCTACTTCCTCCCCAGGAAGAGTCTGACACATTAAAGTCGGGGTGCCAAGTGCTCTCTGAACCACACACAGGAATATCCCCATCTCTGCAGCACCACGACACCACATTCCTTCTTGATCTGGGGACATTCCATTCGGGAAACTCAATTATTTGTGAATGTAGCTTATGGTTCACTTTTGGTACCAAGTTACAAGATTCTTGCGGGCCAAAATCTGCCTCAGTTGGGTCGAGTTCATACAGGTACACTTGGAAAGTGAGAGGATGACAGGAGTGGAGAGACAGCTCAGTGGTTAGAACACCGGCTACTCCTGCAGAGGGCCCAGGTTCAGTTCCCAGCACCCACTTCAGGTGCCTCACAAACATCTGGAAATGCAGTTCCAGGGGGTGGATGCCCTCTTCTGACCTTGGAGACACACTGACACACACACACAAACATAAATAAAAATTTAAAAACAATCCCCTCCCCCGTGTCTCTTTCTGTCTTTCTCTGTCTGTCTCTCTCTGCTTTCCTTTCCTTTTCTTTCTTTTGTAATGGAGAGGTGGCTCAGCAGTTAAGAGTGCTGGCTGTTCTTCCAGAGGCCTGGAGTTTGATTCCTAGCATCTACATGGTGGCTCACAACCATCTGCAACTCCAGTTCCGAGGGATCTGATGCCCTCTTCTGGCTCCCTAAAGGCACCGGGCATGCATGTGGTACACAGACATACATGTAGCCTAACATTCCAACACATAAAATAAGAAGTAAATCCTACCAAAAAGAGAGAAAAAGAAAAGAAACCAAAGGTCCAGAGGGTTATGGGAGCGGCAGAAGGCAAGCGATGTGCAGCTGCCCTGGGGGAGGGGAGTGGGAGGCTCTGAGCTTATTTTTGGCTTGGGTATCAATAGGTCTGGCATGCCTCCTGAGGTTTCTGGGAATTCAGCCTCAGCTTACTATGAATTCAAAAGAAGGAACATAAACTCCACAAACACAGGTCTCACTATCCTTGGCTGGCAGTGATTAAGGACCGAGAAATGGCAACGGTTTAAGCAGTTACCTCTTACTTTTATCTATTTGTGCGTGCGTGCGCGCACACACACACTTTCAAAAACTCTAAAATGGGTGGTAAAATCCAGCAAGAAAATGATGACAGTGCTGGTAGGAACATATTAATGGGTTTTGCTCAAAGCTTTTTAACCAGCTGGAGAAACTAGCATTTCTGGGCTCTTGCTGTGAGCACCCTACCCTAGGCTGGAACAATCTCTTAGGCCACAACCCTGCCCTAGGCTGGAACAATCTCTTAGGCCACAACCCAAAGCCAGCCAGCTTCTCCAGACACCAGCACTCACCGTCCTCCTCAGGCAGCTCCTCGGGGTTGAGCTCCACCAGCTCGAAGCCGTGTTTGATGCACCACTCTTGAGCCTTCTGTCGGTTTATTCCTAAGACAACATGTAAAGGATCTAAGTAAAACGACCGCAAGACACCACCAACCTTCACCACTCTTCAGGGCCTCCCTCCGCGTTTCCCCCAAATGTCAATGTCATTCCAAAGGCATCTAGAATTAAGCTACATAAATGTAAATGGCCCAGCCTCAAAGTATGCTGGAAACGACATAAATCCTGTAGGATTTTCATGGTGTAACATGACGAGCTGAAGACACAGATGTACGCTGTCTTCACGGAAGGGTACATGTCAGAGGCTCTTACCAGCTTCACACACTCTATCACAGACCAGGATCATCACCTCAGGTAACCACGCTTCTGCCAGGGGAAGCCATGAGGAGACACTGTCAAGACCCGATTTCTGCAGGGGCAGAAACAAACAAACATGAAAAGACACACTGAGGAGCTCAGAGAACACAGAAGGAAAAGCAAGCCTGTGACGCTGCCGTGTGAGTGAAGGCACCCCTGGAAACAAGAGCTCACCTGTGTGCTGTCAAAGTAAACCACGAGCGCCTGCACCGACCCGGCGATCTCGGCAGTGACCAGGAACCTGCTAGGCACCACGCACAGATTGACCTCCGCTGAATAGTACTTGTTATCAATGGTCCAGGGGTAAAACCGCACCGTGTCACCGCAAGTTGCTTCCACACCAGCATCTTCTGTTCCGAGGATATCTAAACAAGCAACACAGTATCACCACGAAGGCACAAAACCAATGCACCCTGGTCGATTTGTCTAGTGAGATAACCAGATGAACCTGGAGCCTCAGCTGCTTCCCTTTATATAATGAGTCTAAAGAGCCCTGAATTTATTAGGAGATCTTTCTTCTAATCATCATTAAAAACAATGGTGACACTTTATTTATTTTATTTTATTTTGCAGTTTTGGGGACTGAACCCAGGACCTTTCAGTACTTGTCAAGTACCACTGGGCTATATTCTTTTTCAGAATACAAAATTGATTAGCTTTAGGTTAAACAGTAGCCAGGGGGAGGGGGAGCACTTTGATAAATACCCAGAAAAGAGCAAAGAGAAGAGAAAGAATGAGGGTATATTAATTTTGTTATGTAAGTCCTCCATGGGAAGTAGATGACTATAAAAATTCCTAACTGCTTTGCACTTACTGCACAAAGAGAGGATGAGCAGATTAAGGCTAAGCCATTAATAAAATAGAGCTGCGTATATTCCTTGGGCTAAATGCTTAGACATTAATTCAGTTAATGAAACAAAATAATAGATACTGATAAATGGCCCCAATTCTATTTATATCCACTCTTTCAGCCTTTGAAAACCACCCAAATCCTTATTTGACAAGAGACACCCCTCTGGCAAATTTAAAAACATATCAAAGCAAATTAAATGTTTTTCATTATAAAAAAAATCTTTCTGAAATGTATGTGCTGTGCAGGTAGGAAACCTTCACTGCAGAAGATGAGTCAATGATGGGCGAACACACAGAGCTGTGGTCTCGGAGCCGTGGGAACAGTCTGGTCCCGGCACCATACAACATTTAGAAATGGCAGAGGTGACTGGCACTGTTCTCAGCCGAGCTCCATCGCCCACATCATCCCACCCCCTTCACTTCAGTCAGAGGTGGAGGAGGTGTGTGGGCTATGTGCACAGTATGTGCAGCTGTGCAGACCCGTGTACGTGCACAGAGGCCAGAGGAGGACAGCAGGTGCCCTGCTGTCTCTCTCCACCTTCTTCCCTTGAGACAGGGTCTCTCCTCAAACCCTGAGCCATGCCGGTGTTCAGGAAGCCTGTGATTCTCCAAGGGTTATATATGCACCTGCACCCACGCCGGATGCCATTCCCCACGTGGGACAACACTCGGCGGTGGGCACTGGGATTCGAACTCATCTACTTGCCCAGCAACTGCCTTACACACTGAGCCATCTCTCCAGCTCTTGTCTTCACATTTTTGCCCAAATCAGAGATATTACTCTTAAAGAAATGGATCTGTAAACATATCTGAAACTGATCCTCTACCTCTTTAAGAAACTGGCAATTCTGCTTCACTTATAATCCTTTATTTAGTGTTAATTCCATAGCAACCAGCTACAATGTTCCTCACAGTGCTCTATGACAGCTCAGGTGGGCATGCAGCAAGAGGACAGATGAGCTATTAAAATCAAAGACTCTGTTTTCACATCAATGTCTCATTGAGCAAACAAACCACAACTCCTAGACCAAAGTCTACCTCGCAGTCCAAGTCAGCCCTCCAAGCAGAGAGCAGTCATGTTTCTCAGAGCTTCATCACCCAGCCAACATAATCCCATCATGTCAACAGCACACATGGAGGAAGGCGACCCAAGCCAGGAGATACTGCAAACACAGACACAGGCTTTGAAAGGGTGGGAGGAGACAACATGAAATCGGTCCTCATTCTTAGCTAATTAAAAATAATGAACTGGCTGTTTTTTAAAGGAGAATACAAACATCAGCGCTGTTAAGAGGCAAAGGAGAAATCCAAGGGACTAAGTCTCATCGCTTACCACTATCTCCTTAGTCCTGTACTTAAAAGCTGGAATCTATTTGGGGTTATGCTTTTTTTTTTTTTTTTTTTTTTTGGTTTTTCGAGACAGGGTTTCTCTGTGTAGCTTTGCGCCTTTCCTGGAACTCGTTCTGTAGACCAGGTTGGCCTCGAACTCACAGAGATCCGCCTGCCTCTGCCTCCCGAGTGCTGGGATTAAAGGCGTGCGCCACCACCACCGGGCCTTGGGGTTATGCTTTTTCCAAATCAGTGTCTTCAATACAAAAATACAGTCAATTAAGTTGCAAGTACAGGTTAACTGCAACCATGACCATCTGGATTGACTAAGGGGTTGCACACACTAAGAAGCACCGGATGGTATGCTTTAGATGGGCAAACTGTATGCCGCAGACTGTATCTTAATAAAGTTTTTTAAGTAAATAAACAAAAACAAATGGGAGGGTAGTTCTTTCTCTTTTTGCTATACTCAGATGGGAATAGGACCAAAAAGCCAGGAAGATGACTTTTACTTTTCGGATGTTTTAATAGCTGCCTGGGTTGTTTTATTCTTTGAGCTGACTCAGACAAGTGGATAGCCCAATCTACTTAGCAGCACTTATTTTGTTTTTAGCATGTGATATCTAGTCAGACTGTCCAGTAAAGCTGGGCATGGACTTTGTTATCACATCTGCACCATGTAAGAACGAGGGGGGGGGGGGAGGAGGAGGAAAAGGAGTGGAAACTGCCTTATTCCAGTTCCTACTGTCAATATCAGGGTAGAAAAAAGGAGACCACGTGAGGAAGCAGAGCCTAAAGCTGCTGACGCCAGAGCAGCAGCTTCTTCTCCTGCTTCCTCAAGATGCTGACGCTTGCGACCTGGGCACGAATCTACGCCACTCTGGAGTATAACCACAAGACACACACATCCTTGGACCTAAAGACCCACTGTCCCCTCTGGACCAAACAGGAACAGCAGAACAAGGGGACCATTCTGCGAAGCCATTTACAAACTGCTCACGGCATCTGAGTATTTGTGCCAAAGCTGCACCGTAGTTCTGAGGGTCTGCTTGTGTTTGTACGGCCCAAAGTACCCTCCCTTCTTTGTCCTTCATTCTGCCAAAAGTGGATGCCCTCAACTCCACCGGGTACAAATAAATTCTCAGAGCAGCTTCACCCTCCAGCTCTCATCCACGTGGCCACCTGGTGGAGCTGTACCACATAACTTTTTAAGAGACAAATGAGATAACTGGTTGCCAGGTTTGTTATTACACACTAGGATTCACGCCTGGAAATAGTCCATTTGTGGTGCCTTCACGTAAGATGTTAACACGTCAATCCAGATCCAGCAGCAAATCCAACCCCCACTCAGTTATCTGGCAAGTGCAAACAGCAGTCCCTACTTGAGAACCTGCTCTTCAGCAGGCAGGGAGTCTCCAGCCACCTCCGCCTGTTACTTTCTCACTTAGGTAACTTATTTCCCCTACGGCCGCAGAAGAGTCACTGAAAGGAAAGATTAAAGAGATGTGACAGAGGCTGTGTGCACGATGGCCAGTGGAGTGACCCAGCATCCCTGTCATGCTCTGGCTGGGCTTTGTGCCTCACCTAGGAGAGCACGCCAGTTTGGCAAGCAATCAAAGGAAAGAGGACGTAGTAAGGCTGTGCTTTAGAACTGGTGAGAGGTGAGCCTCTTTTTAGCAGATGAGGAAGCAGACTGAGGTTCAAGGGTCATTCTCCAAACATCACACATACCATTTACACACATGTGCGTGCATACATATATACCTGGCTTCTTTATATCTAGCCACTCTCAGCCCCGAACAACAAAACAAATGCATTCCAACGATGACACAGTTCACTATGCCAGGAATTATCCATGCCTCCTTCAGCAGTATAATGAGAATACTTAATACCAACAGACTTAATGGCCAAATCACATTTTCCATGGCTGGAGGGACGTGACACTTGCCACTGAACATCAGGGAAATCCTTCCAAAAGCAGTATTATTCTGAGAATGCAGTTTTCTTGAACTTCAGATCCTCCTGCCTCCACCTCCCTAGTGCTGGTTACAGGGTGTGGCGTGCATCTGGTTTATGAGGTGTTAGGGCTGGAACCCGGGGCCCACTGCAAGCTAGAGAAACACTTTACCAACGAACCACATCCTCAGCTTAGTTCTGATTCTTCTGCAAGCTGAAACTGCCTTTCTAGCCAGGCTTCGGTGTCTCCCATTCCAGCTCCGAGAGTCTTTCACGGTCTCCTCTCTCCTGCTGACCCCACAGTCCCTCTTCCTTCCCTCCATGCAGCCAGCACCAAGGAAGCAGGAGAGACCACAGGGAACTGAGCTGCCCCAGCCCTGCAAGAGTCTGGCTGGAGGGACCTGTGTCATACACCTCAAACACAGACCAAACCCCTTTTGTGGCTTCAAGACGGAAATGTGCAAGAAGGTGCAGGGACTGAACGTGGAGGCGGCCCGAGGTGAATGCTCACTCCCATGGGGCTAGAGGGATGGCTCAGCAGTTAAGAAGACCAGCTGCTGTTCTAGAGGACCTGCGTTCAATTCCCAGCACCCACACAGTGGCTCACAACCATCTGTAACTCCACAGCCACCAGGCACAAATGTAGTGCACAGATGTACATATAGGCAGAACACCATACACATAAAAACAAAACCTTTAAAAAATGCTCATTCCCCAAATCCCAACCCAGTGTCCTCTATGCTACTGTACTCCTGACTTGTGGTTGGAGCCACATGCGGCTCTTAAGAGGAAAGAGTCTCCTCTATCAGGATGCTCTGGGGCCTCTTTTCTTTTCCAGCCTGACCATCTTGTAAAATATGACGTCTCAAAGTTTTCTTTTCCATTGTTGAGGCAGAAGAGAAAGCAATTAGGAAAATTACAGAAGGCAGCAGTCTGACGTCAGCCAAAGGGGAAGACAGCCATTAGGAAAGAAGAGGACCCAGGGAGATGCGGCTTGGGAAGAAGCAGCAGGTAAAAGTGTTAGAAACGTCAACATGCCTCTGCTGTTGCAACTGGCATAATCACAGGGCCCAAACTCTGAGAGAATGTCTTCTAGGGGTCAAATGCTGTCACACTGCAACACAGAAAACCACACACACAAGGGAGCTGTGTCAAGAACCCCAGCTGTTAAAACTGTGTTGTAGGGCTGTGAAATCATCCTGAGAAATGTCAGCAACTCCTATCTGGA